CATTTGCTCATGAGACAAAGGCGGCGCCATTCTTGCGCGCGTTCTGACAGCGGATGCGTGTTCGAGGTCACGTGAATGATGTCTAAGGACTGGGTTCGCGCCCTTACCGCCGTCGCTCGCACCAGAGAACTGGGAGCGACCCATGGAGGGCTGCGCTCGAAAGGGCGAGTGTGAAACAGCTGGAAGAGGCTGATCCGCACCACGGAGCATGGAGTCCAAAGTTAAAGGATGAGTGGGAGCCGGGCCCGTGTACGGGGATGACAAAGTGCCAGCGGATGGAACCGCGCACTGTGTCACAACAGCGCCATGACATCCCCACCCAACGTTGTGGGGCAAGCTGAATGTGTTGGGTCTTGCAGGAAGCTGGGGCCGGTGCGCAAATGGAGCACTCCCGTACAGCTGGCCGTGTAATATGACTGACTGCGGGAACATGCAGATATGTCGCAGTGCTTGGTGTGGGGAACATGTGTGAGGATTTGGCAGAGGACTGTAGGATTGTGCTCTCTATGTGACGTTTTTTGGGTTTTATTTCAAAACCAAAATCATTCACAGAGTTATTACAGTCAGAAGCACACACATTCCCCCCAACGAGTCATTTTCGTGTTTGCTTTCGGCGAGGTTCCTGCGACTGTGACTGCCAAGACGGTGTCTGCTGGCTCTTTCGAAACCGTTGGCTGCCAACTCTCTGGTCCCACTGAGGTGGAGCCGAAGCGGGAGGCCGGGGCAGCTGGGCGCCTGAAGTTTCTGCGCCGTTCGTCCCATCCTCTGGAGGAATGGCCGGAGTGCGAGGCTGACCAAGGGTGGACCTGGTCTCGCACCGTGGCTGACAGTTCAGCTGTCTTCTGAGGCCTCTCGATGACGCTCCTAAGATGGGGACCAAACAGAACGTCAGAGGTGATGGGGCCTTCCAGCATCTCCCTGTACAGGTGTTCAGGAATGGAGGGCAGGGCCTGGAGCCACAAGGCCCGCTGGATAAGGGTCTGCCAGGCAGCAATGCGAGCAGAACCAGTGAGTACAGCAGCGCACAGACTGAGAATGGCATCAGCAGTTTTAGTAATTTGGCTTTTGACTCGTCAGGAGCGTCAAGCTCTTCCACCATTTTGGAAACGCCAAAGGCAAGAAGGGCAATGTTATTTCCTGCAGCGCCGGTCTGGAAGGCGCACTGGTGTGCGCCGCGTCAGCAGCTGGTCATGCTTAGAAGCGGGAACTGCTTGTGGGCCAGCGAGGTGGTTCTTGGCGCCAAACAGCGAGGCCAAGTCCGGCTCCAGTGGAGAAACGGATGACCAGCCTTGGTCGGAGAAGCCCTCGACCTTGGTAATGGGTGCATATGTGGAAATTTGCGCCTTGAGCTTAGCAGGTTCGGAGAAGGCAGCGGACGAGCAGCTCATGGCAGTGGGGAAGCACGGCCAGATGGGGTCTGGACAGCGCGCCTGTGTTGCCCCGAAAATTCCCGCCAAATCATCTGTTTCAGGCGGAGCCGGTTCCGGCACGGCTAGCCCCTTGCAGACCGCAGCCGCGGAGATGATGGCAGGCAGCTCCTGGAGCAGTGCTCTAACTGCTGGCAGGGAGGAGCGAGAAGTCACTGGAGCAGAAGGACCCGCTGAGCGAGGCTCGTCGACCTCCGTGTTGTCCAGGAGGGAAGAAGGGCTATGGCAGCGAGCCTCGTCGTACTCCTCACTGTCGATGACGTCGTCCAGTCGGCTGAAGCCAGCCAGCTCCTGGCCGACATTGAAGAACTGCAAGGCCTTGTCCAGCGAGTACGTGTCAACCACTGGAAATTCCTCGTCGGCGGCGGGGGTGAAGAACTCGACCCGGCGGATCTTTTCAGCCACGGGCAGAGCGATACAAAACGGGCACGAGGCCTGGGGGGTCAAGGCCAGGCCAGCGTGATGAGCCCTGAGACAGACCTCACACTTGGTGTGCAGGCCGCCGCTGGAGATGGAGCCCATCTGGCAGGCCGGGCAGGTCCTGGCGTCGCTGGACATAGGTGAGTAGAATGCTTCTTGGATAATTGCTCTTTAAAGGAAGCTCTTATGGGCTCGACACATGGGAGGCGACATCGCCTTTCCTCCATTCATTTTCAATGAGACATGCGCGACAAAGCGATAATCGCGGGTCTCCCTCCTACCAAGCGAAACGCGAAAAACGTGAGTGTGAAATTTTGCGCTACGTTTTTCGCGTTTCGCTTGGTAGGAGGGAGACCCGCGATTATCGCTTGGTCGCGCATGTCTCATTGAAAATGAATGGAGGAAAGGCGATGTCGCCTCCCATGTGTCGAGCCCATTAAGCTTGGCTTGAAGAGATAATGGAGGCGAACAGTGGAGTCACTCCACTTATATACCCACAGGGGGTGACCACCATTGGTGGGCGTACATTTAAGCTCTTCATGACTGGCTGATGCTGAGATCATCCTTCCAATAGCAGCTAGCTTAAGGGCTAAGACTAGACGAAATAGAACTTGATTAATTCTCCAACATTTCAACATTTCAGAAATGAGACATTTGGGTTCAAATAAAATAACAAAGTCAAACATTTTATTTGGTGTCATTTCTGACACCCTTGAACTGTGGCATAAATATTTGACTCTAAAGCTGCTCAGAGACAGTAAACTCTCATATATGAACCCATTATGCATTTTATTATTACATTATGTGTTCTATAGGTTTTCAGTATTTTTTCAGATTTTGTGAATTTTTGCAAAGCATATTTTCAATAAGAAATAATCGTGATGCATCGGGATATCGAATCGAATCGTTGACCCAATAATCGTAATCGAATCGGGAGACAAGTGAAGATTCACACCTAAAAAGTGCACTTTCTTGTGTTTTGTTTCCAAGAAATTGGGAGGCCATGCTGCTAATGAAGCTGTAGATGATCCAGAGTCGACTGCTACAGATGAATGTGTCACAGAACAAGAGGACCTCCATCCACCTGCTCCTCAACAAGCTGTGCTACACTGTAGCTCACAGTGCAACCTCAGACCTTGTCATCGATCATCAGGTACTCGTGTTTACAATTTAGATTAAATGCTAAACATTACTTTTCATAACTTCTAGGGAAAAAGATTTAAAAAATATATGGGTTTATTGCTAGCTGGCATAACTCCAGCATTATCTCACCACAATCTTTAATGTTTAAAAACACATCACAGTGGCAACTATTCGCATATTGTAGTTGTTTCTGTTTCCTGGTTCACTTTATGAATTACCTTATCTGATGACGTTTAGCGACCAAGTGAAGCAGCCAATCGTAGGAGAGCCCTTCAAGCCAATCAGAGGCGAGAAAGGCGGGACCATCTAAAGACATTTTGCATCTAGCCCGAATCGCTAGAGCTAGGCTAGCTAGTGGAAGCTAATAATAAACGTCATGGCTGAACGCATTCGGACTTGTATTATTTGTGGAAATAGCTCATTAACGTTGCATTTTTTACCCAATGAAAAACAGCTTAGGAAGCGATGGTTGGAGTTTATTTTTGGAAGGCCACCAGTGTATTACAGCGCTTGGTTGGTAGTTTGTTCTGATCATTTTGAGCCGAGTGATTTTACAAACTACGATGCCTACAGCAGCGGGTCCGTTTCAAAGTTGTCCTTAAAACCTGGATCTGTTCCGTCACGACGACCCGCCACCAGCTCACAGGCTGTGAGTCGCAAATGAAAGCTTCTGCATTTTTAGTGTTAGCCATTTAAAACTCCTTGACAGCAAACATGTGGACGTGTTAGCTAAAGCAGGCTTATTTACTAGTGTTTATTTGAAGAAATGGTTATTCTTGCCATTATTACGCGTGAATTAATTTCTCCTTTTGTTTTTGTGTCTCCCAGAGCACAACCCCCCTGTCTACAGACCCATCCACACAGCGTCCTCTGGGTAAATCTGATCATGTTTGAAGCTACACTGCAAAAACGCATTTCTCAGACTGTAAAATGAGCCTAATTTAAAAAAATTAATTTTTAGTCTAAAAAGACAAATTATTCTAAAAATAGCTGTACTTAAAATAAGGTAAATATTAGGGATGCAACAATACCACTTTTTTCCATACCGATACCAATACTTGGATCCAAGTACTCGCCGATACCGATTACAGATACTTCAACCACACAAAAAAATGCTATGAATTGGAATACAGGTTTTATTTTTTTTGCTTTCAACAGGAAAAAACAGAGATCGATAAAAAGTAAAATAAATGAAAATAAATTGTCACAAAACTAAAATATTAGGTGAACAGAAATGACAAGTTACAGTGAAGCCACTTTCATTTACGTATCCATACTGACACAGATACCAGTATCGGTATCTGTGCATCCCTAGTAAATATGATACTTTCTTGTTTTGAATTGAAAAAAAAAAAAAAAACAGCCAGTGGGGTAAGTCAAAGTTGCTTGGCTAGCAAAGAAACCCAAACTGTAATTATTTTTTGTTTTAAGGTTTCTAGCCAAGCAACTTTGGCTTTGCCCATTGGCTGGACCGTGAAGGTAATTATTCAAAATATTTTCATTTATAGGTAAAGAGGAGGCGGAGGAAGAATTCCCCACTTCACTGACAGTTGGTGACAAATGCTACCCGGTGGATTTAGGGAGGTTTGTTCTCATCAGTAACTGGATCTGGCTTCAGTATTTTAACGTATGTGATCAACAGCGTCCATTTTGCTTCCTTTCAGCCCGTCGGAGATTGTCGTTGAAGAAGAGTGCCTCCTGGAGCTGTTCAAGTCCTGCCGGAAATGCAACCAGAGGTGCACCGTTCAAAGAGACGTGAATGGGCTGAAGATCGTAGTTATTCAGTCGTGCAGCGTCTGTTTGAGCCGCTTCGAGTGGACCAACCTGCCAGAGGAAGATGAGCAACTGGACACCTGATCTGAACAAGTCTTCATGTTGGACCCACATCAATGCTGCTTTTTACAAACAGAATAAATCTGACTTTACACTTTTAGAAACTTCCCTGGATCTCATCTAATATTTATGTATTTTTATCAGCACTAAACCTGCTAAGCAAAAAAAACCAACAAGTTTAAACTGATTCCACACATTTAATGGAGTTAGAGGGAACACGTTCACTCATTAATCACAAGTAGTGTTTAAGTTTGTTCACTTTGAAGGTTTGGTCAGAAGTAGAAAAGTCACAACCAAGCAGGTTAAAAGAAACTCATTACAGCCCAGACAATCACCACTGGAGATTAAAAATCACAAGACTAAAAACCAACTGTTAAATAAATAATCCACTTGCATGGTTGGAGTTGTAAAAGGAAGACATGGAAAAGAGCAAAAAAGTTAGGGTTAATCACAACTTTGCATATGTGGTCCTTATTTGGCAAGAGAGCGATCGACAATTCTAGAATAAAAGCACACGATTACTGCAATCACAGTTGAAACATTCTTATTTATCAAGTTCTTAAAAACCCGAGGAGGAAAGGGACTTGGTCCAATGCGTCTTCAGTTCAGGGGTAGCAGCTGAGGTGGGAGGAAGAGTTAGCTAAAGTAGCCAAAAGCTACATTTTCTCTGTTTTTAAATCATTAACACATTCACATTTCTCTTCCTGTGCAAATCTCTAGAAAAAAAAAGATGCCTGAGTAAACTACAGTTTGAGCGTCTGACTCTCGTACCGTCTGTTTAGTTTAGCAGTCTATTGATGAAGATGCACCAAAATGGGTCTGGTTGTGTCAGTGCAGATAGCCGCTGTTGTACTGGAAGGAGGCCATGTGGATCCGGTTACGAAGCCTCTGGACCTCCAGCTCTTGGAAATGGTCTTCCTCGTCATTCTGAATGATTATTTTCTGCAGATCGTTGATTTCACGCTCCATCCGGGAACGCAGCTCGTGTTTCATCTTTAGCAGAGCCTGTCCCAAAAAAAAAAAAAGGATCTAAATTAATACTAGCTTTACAGCACAAGTCTTTTCAGGAATTAAAGAGCAAGTCAACCCCCAAATCAACTTTTTTTTCTGATAAACTATATAAATGTGTGTCTAATCGTGCTGCAGACACACGTAGTCAATAGTTTAGCACTTAAGTGAATTTTTGTTAAAATTTTAAATTTTTTGCCTAAAACTGTCAGTGTTACGCCGTTGTCAGGTAAAAACTACACTGCATTTGAATTTAAATCTGCCATCGCTATCGACTAAGAGGTACCCTAGAAAGTTAGCTGGTACATTGTGATGTCACAATGTCGTGAGCGTGTGTATGTTAGCAGTTCTGCCCTCTTGGTCTGCTAGGCAACAGCTTTTGTTGCATTTCTTTAAACTGGAAGTGGGAGTGGAGTAATGAGAATAAAACTCTGGTAGGGAGTGACTTGCTCTTTAATGTCAGAAATCTGTTAAAAGTGATCATCTGACCCTTTACTGTGGTATAATGTACATCATCCCCCTTCCTGTAGAGCCCCATGCAGTATGAAATGGTGTTAGACATCTGCTTACGTACAAATGCCAGTCACAGAGTGAGCGAGGACCTGGACCGATGGTTGGTGACATTTATTTTGAAAAAGTAAGTATTTAAAATACATAAAATATGTACGAATAAACGGCTTAATGTGAGAATAATGGTAAAACAATGATTTGGCTCTGTTGGTCATTAGAGGCTATGCTTAAGGTGTGATGCATCTTCCCGCCTCTAGATGGCGCCCTTTAACAAAAAAAATACTCCAGAGCTCTAAAGTTTATTAGCGTGAAGAAAGGAAAACGTGAATAAAATGGGTTAGATAGAAAATGTCATCAGAAGTTGTTGCACTTTTATTAAGTGAATTTTTTGGTAAATAAAACAGATGCACAAGATTTCACGAGCATTTCTGCCGGATTACAGCAGTACAGCAACAGCACGTTTTCCAACATTAATAACCAGTCTTTACCTTCTCTTGAGCCTTTTGTCGGACCTGGATCTCTTCCCGCTCCTGGGCGAGTTTCTCAGCAATCAGTGAAAACTGAAAGATTAAAGGCACCGTTCACCATCTACACCTGTGGGATTGTGTGTGTGTGTGTGTGTGTGTGTACTAACTTGGTCTTTGTAGTAGTTCTCCAAGGACTCAATCTGATCCTGGCGTCGTCTCTGATGCTCCAGCTGCTGCTCCCTGGCGTACGCTCTCTGCTCTCTCAGCCGGAGCTTCTGAAGCTGCAGACCTTCCTCAAATAGCTGTTGGAACATCTAAACACACACGAGCATGTCGCCTCATCACCCGAGTTTAGCATTTTCCCTTAAATACTTTCTAATTGACATTTAGCCTAACGCCTGAAGTCTGAAGCTCGTCCACCCACCCTCTCCTCCTTGGTGCGAGCCTTCATCAGTCGGGCGCGATGCTGAACGTGATATTCGTTGTAGTATTTTTTAGCCCGAGCCGTCTGCTGCTTCTGCTCCTTCAGTTTGTTCTGAACGAACTTCTGCTGCTGGACTCGATCCTTAAACTCCCTCTGGAGGAAACAAAAACACGTTTGAGCTGCATGAACCTGTCCTTGTGCAGGTTTTATTCGTCTTCCTGTTGAGGCCCACCAGCCGGTTCTTGTGGTCCTGGTCTTTACGGTTGAGCTCCACCAGCAAGTCGTATTTCCTCTGAGCCTCCTCCAGCTGAATCAGGAGGAGTAAAAACAGGAATTTGAATCAGGATCTTAACACGGAGCCTACATTTTATTATGAAGGCTTTAGAAATCGAAGTCTGAAGCATCAGAATCACCTGATCACAGCTGCATCATCTTACCTGACCGGAGAGCTTTCTACGATGCCGACTGTGTGAGGAGGAGGAGAGGGCGTGGAGCCGGTCCACCTGCTGCATTTGCTGATCCCACAACCGACCCAGAGCATGAGAGGAGATGTGAAGGTGGGGCAACTCCTCCCTCAGGACCGGGAGGAGGTCGTTCTTTTTTATCTTCACTAGAGGGAGAAGCAGAATGAGACGTGGTTCTGACAGAACCAAAACGTCCAACAAAGTTCTGACTCACAGGATGAGGTTCTCCTGGAGGCTTCTAGACGCTTCGGTCCACCTGAGCAACGATGCGTCTTCGGGTGAGTCTTCGGTCTGGGTGGAGACGGTCGGGACGTTTGGGAGACATCTCCTAGTATGGCTTTTCTGTAGTCTTGCTCCTACACACACGCACACACACACACAACAATGTGCAGCATTTCAGTTTTCCAAAGAGTAACTCATTATTTGTCCGTCTCAGATTATTTAACTTCTAACCAGTAAAAGATCAATGAAACCTCAAAAGCATCACGTTTCTGACTCACAGCTTTCTGAGCTTTGAGGCGCGCCGTGTACAGTTCCACCTCTCTTTCCTCATAACCTCTCAACTCGTCCTCGTAGTTCTGAGAAAAGACGTTTTTCTCTTTAATAAGGTAAAAAAACACGCAGGTCACTTTACGATAATTATCTTCGTTATGTGCTGCAGCAGAAGTCAAACTGACACGATTCTCTAATCCACACATTCACAAGAACAACATCTGATTGATCTCCATGTGATAAACAGATCAAGAAGAAAACCTGGTTGTGTTCCCTGTGGAGCAACTCTCCTCGTCTCGAATGATCAGACACTCTAGTTTGTCTCAACGTCTCTCCGTCTTCTAACTGGTCGTGGAAGGAGGAGCGATGATCTGGTGGAGGAGAGGGAGATGAAGAGCTGGTCTGCTGGCTGGAATCAGGCGTTTCTGGAACAAACAAAAAAAAAAATCCCATAAATAAAAACACTTCAGGAGGATGGCAGAGATTACCTCAACATTAATAAATATTTCAGGATTTCTTGGAATATTGCAAAAAAAAAAAAAAAGCTGAGCTAAGAAAAACAAGCATAGCGTTGTTGCTCTCTAACCCCGGTTTCACACTGGAAGCATCAATGGCAGCCGAACGTCACTGCTTCAAATAAAATCCATCATAGTCTATGGAGTGTTTCAAACCAGCAGCGATTAGGAAATTTCCAGAAGCGGCACGCAGGTATGTATGTATGGTAAATTTCAAAATAAAAGGACTGCAGCGATGCAATTTCATTTATATGAAGCTTACGTGTGACCCAACGGCTTATTTAATCCTAGCATTGTTCCAGAAGTGAAGCGGTGTGTTTCTCATGGCTGTAATCCAAACAGAAATATAAAAGGTGACTTCCTTCATTTTGGATTAATGACGGATGGTAGAAACAAACCGTGACCTGAAGTCTCGAGGGATCTTGTAATCTTGCGAGTCCACGAAGAACACAGCCAGGAAGCCGTGCCGCTGCCAAGACTCTCCCGGTGCAAAAAGGACTGCTTTGAAGTTTGCGAGTAAACCGTTCCACGCCGCTGATGGTTCCAGTGTGAAACTGGCGTAACGGGTTTCAACGATTGAGCCAGAAACTTGAATACCTTCACAATAAGCGCTGACCAGAAACTGCACTAGTGGGAGTTCTCTGCCTGCAAAGAGCTAAAACCAGAGTGAACATCGGCGCGGCCTACACTAGTTTGAGGGAGCTGAAGGAGGCATTGAAATCACGGACTGATGGTGACCTGGCTTTGTTGCTACTGGACATGGAAGTAATAATATTTCTATCCAACAGTGAGGATCTTTTTACTTCATGGCTTATTTATTATGTGTTGGCGTGTGTGTTAGCGTTAGTAGCAACTGTTGTAATTCCGCTTTCAACCAATAGGAGTCAGACGCAGAAAACTCATCAGGTGTTTTAAAGTACCTGTGTGTTGTCTAGGAGTCTCCTGGGATGCTGTGGTGACATCACTGGTTTGCTGGTCTTCTTCTCTGGTCTCACTGAAGTCGTCACTTTCACCCAGAACTCGTTTGAGCATCTGCAAGAATTCAGGCGTCGTTTAGGTTTCCAGATAAGAACTAGAGAAATCATCACTAATCTAACCTGCTGTGTTTACTGTAGCACAGAACTGAGAAGTTCCAAATTATTTTATTTGAAATTACAAGTTATGTATTAATCTTGTTAACAGAAGCCAACAATGTTCTATCACATTTCCAGAGTTGCTGTGATTTTGTTTACCACTGATGCTGGAAGATAAACACCCTGTCTGCAGACAAAGAGTCATGTGTCTCACTTTGCTTCAGATAGAAAATGCCCCCAAAGAAAGGCTACAAGCAAGAGCTTCAATAGCATAATCCTGCTGTAATTCAGAGATCCTTATTGTAGATTTCAGTAAATCCAGTAATTCTTAAAAAAAAATAAATATAAAATAAGTACAGCAAATCTGTAAATCTGAGTCAAGTAAGCTAAACACACACACACACACACACACACACACACACACACACACACACACACACACACACACACACACACACACACACACACACACACACACACACACACACACACACACACACACACACACACACACACACACACACACACACACAACCTGATCCAGCTCCTCGAGGCGCTGGGCGAGCTTCTCTGACATGTGGTGCAGCTCTTCCTCGGTCTGCTTGTTCTTTTTTCTGCGTTGGGACAACGGCTCCTCAGCAGCCTCCCGTGTCTTCCTGCTGCTGCTGGAACATGTGACATCACAAACACGGAGCAGAGACTGAATTATTTACTGTGTTTGTTTGTTTATTTGTCATTCCTCCCTCTGAACTCCCACCGAAGGTCGGTCCTGTTGGTCCCACTCCTGTGAGCTGCTCCTCTGTCCTCAGATCGTCTCCTGTAACTCAGATCCTCCTCGTCCTCTTCAGTGTCCGGTGGAGACGGGGAGGTGGTGGTCCTCTCCTCCTGCAGGGTGAGGAGGAGCACATCCGGCTGAGTGCGGAATAAGACCCTCCTCGGACCTCCGTTTGTTGGCTGAGATTTGGGAAAAGACCTTGTGGGTGAATTTGGTATTTTGTGGGATTGAAATAATCCACCAGGATTAGGGAGCCACTAAATCCCTGCTGACCTCTAGAGTTTCCTCCTCTGGCTCTGATCTCTGCTGGCTGGTTACAGACTTCACACTTTCAGCTGGAAAGTCAACAGAAAACACGACATTTCACTCTGATGCACAATGTTTTAACGTGCTAACAGCAGAAGCTGTTAACCGGGGTGACTAGCATCAATCGGCACGATCACTTACAGAAAGTTCTACTTTAATCCAGATTAACAAGCATTTCTGAATCTAATCTTGTAACAAACCTATTCCGACTCACCAGGGGACCGGCAGGTCGCAGGAGACGATATTCCGTCATCGATGACCTCAGCCAGCAGATTACAGTTCTGCAAACAGACAAATTAAACATTTAATAATTAAACTAACAATGAACTGTTACTAAATACAGCCAGGTGTTTAAAATCCCACATTTAGGCTCTTGTGATGATCTGCTATGCCTTAGTTCCCCATGAATAAGTGACAAGTAAATAAAATTATTAAAACTCTAGCAGGAAATGTGTTTTAAAAAGAATTTACCGTTTATTCTTGTATAAATCTACCTGTGCTGGGATGGGGGAGGAGTTCTCTGCAGGTCGTCTGAGGTCAGCGGTTGTGGGAGGTTGGTGGGGGGGGTTTGGGTCGGGGGGTTTGTGAGACTGAGCGGGTGGCTGCAGTGGGACGGCCGAGTGCTGGGGGGGGTCTGGCGGCCCTGCTGTGAAACAACGTGTTACACCAGCCGCCATGATGGATGGATGTGTTACCGCCTCTAAAACGTGTCAAACAAAATCCAAACCCAAAAGGAGAACCTTGTGTTTGAACATAGTGGATCAGACGTCGGCCATGTTTTTACCTTCTTGTTTATTTGTAAAGGTGTGCTCCGACACGCCCAGGCCCATGAGCTCACTGGCCGACCCCGCCTCCTCAGCATGGCTGGATTGGGCCGCAGCTCTAAACGATGAGAGAGAACCACACACAGGTTACCAAGTGGATCAGGTGACCGGGTTGATGTACTTCCCGTTTACGTCAACGGGTCATTTCCAGGAGCAGAACAGGACTCTATAACGAACTCCTCACATTAATTATAATCCAGCAACAACGTTTAGATGTCAGCGCGGATGTGTGAGGATCTTAAAACAGAAACGTTGAGTTTAAAACTTCTTTAAAACATTTTCAGATTTTGTCACAGAGTGAACTTTTAAACTCGATTTGGCTAATTTGTGTTTCTGTTATCAGTCAGTCCCCAACACATCAAAACGTTTTAACCCAGCGTTTATCTTATTTTGTATTAATAAAACTCTAAACAAAACTGGCAAGTACTGGACATCTACTGACTGATATGGTTTTATTGTAACTGCAGATGCCGATTTTTAGAGATCATGGTCGGCCAAAGGCAGATATGTGCTGCCCCCCCCCCCCAGCCAATTTCTAGATGCTTCTTGCCTTATCTGCGTGCTAAAATGTCATCAATAACACTGGATGCAGAACATTTCTGAACATAATCGGTTTTTGAACACGAATTTTAACCTGTTGAATTCTGTGCACAGAATTAAAATCAAGCTTTGAACCAAAGTTAATAAAAAAAATCAATTAATGAACCAAGTGTTAAAAATACAAAACAGATTAATAAAAGTTGATCATGTTTTGTCTTTCAGGAACACAAAAATACTTTTAAATATAAAATTCAGCAGCAGCACTGGGCTACCTGTGGATGTGCCTGCCTTCAAATGAGGCACTGGCCGAGGCTAACACAATAATGGTAACGATCGTCCCTCTCCATCAGCTCAAACAACCTCAGATTTCTGACTAAATGCAGACTTAAAGGAAACCAGGATGAACAGATAAACTCCTCCTGGTTAATCACAAATAGAAAATAATGCATGTATTTACAATAAAATCTACATTTCCTGTTTGCTCGGGTAGAGCAGCTCTTACTCTGAACTGAGTGTAGCCGATTCCAGCTGGTTTCTCTCTTCCACCTCCGTGACATCAGCATCATTTAGCTCCTTAGTTTTAACCAGTTCACCCTGATTCAGAGCATCATTTAATTCGTCTGAAAACAAGAAGCACAAGTTTGACTGTGTACCGTAAATCTAATAAAAGATTGGTTGCTGAAGAATATTTGAGTGATAAACACAAGACTGCAGAGTGACAGACGACTAAATTATGATGTTAAGTCATAAACATCCTTACTGGTGCAAAAAGTTACAATGTTTGTTATGTGGTAAGATGATGACAGAAGGCTTATGTACATACCACTATTCTGCGATTCCTCATTTATCTCCTCATTGAGATATTCAAGGAGACCGTCGAATATTTCCAGAAGGTTCTTGATCGACTCTTTATCTCCTCTGACAACATTCTCTCCTGCAAATACAGTCATCCTTTCCCTTTTACTTCTTTAAAAACATAATTCAAAATTTTCTGTTTACAACTCAAATCATCCAGTCAGAGAGAGTCAAAAGGACAAAACTTTTCTAAGAAAGCATAAACAAATTGGAAACAGCCGATGGACTCAGTAACAGATTGAGTTATTTTCTTTACCTGTAATGTGAGAGAGGCTGATCTGAAGGTAATCCAAAGACAGGGAATCAATCACAGACTGAACGTTGTGCACATCATCCTCCTGACTGCATGGAGTTGCAATATAATCTAAATATAAAGCATAAAAAAGTACCGAGCATCACACGAGTGAAACAGCAAAAGCCACAGAGACATCAGAAACGTACAAAACATCTCCTCACACATAAAACTCTGGAGCCTCTACTGCCTTTTAATCACAGTTGATTTTGGGATGCATTCCTGATGAGCTTACCGTTTCATAGCCTTCAGCTGCTGCAAAGGATTGGATTTGACATTTCTTCATTGCTATTCCCCTCCTCCAAGTTAATTACACTATTATAAGAACTACAAATTCAAATGGATTGTGTGTCCCTTTAAAATCTGAACTACGATCACGACCATCTGCTGTTTTACAGGTTAGTCCATCACAGGGGTAAAAGAAACAATCCAGCTGCTCTTACCTGGAACCTTCTCTCCAAGGATGTTCTGGTACAAAGACACGAAGGCATAAGCATTACAGTCTGTCAGTTTCCTCACACTCAGGTTTATGTGACACTTGCTGAGTAGACCTCTAGCCACATCAACCCAATCTATGAATGAAAAGGGAAATCATCTGTTAAACTGGGAATCGCTTTGTTTCATTATGACCGGGAAAAGTCAATTTGAGAGCGAAGCGTCGTTTCATCCTTCTTTATAAACCAACTTCTATCTATAAAGCGCTAATGTACCAGATTAACATTCATAAAATATAATATTCGTGTATTTAAGGCAAATTAAAAAAAGCACATATTTGTGATCTGCCCTCGTTTGTTTTACTTGTACCGAAAATGTTTACTCACAACTTCCCGGTAGCTAGCTAACATGCTAATGTTTGCCAACAGGAACCTTGTCAGAAAAGATTAAAAGAGTGGTCAAAAAGCATTTACTCGAACAAAATATCTACATTTTAAATGTGTACAGCTAATGTCTGGTTCAGTGAAAGCAGGAAGCGAAAGTAATCAAACAGCTAACTTAAGCTATAGGTTACGTATCGTTAGCTTCCAGCCGGAGTTTTGGTTGACTTACTTCTTTCTCCCTCCTGAGTTCCCATGAAACAACAGACGCCAGAAGGCAGATGGAGTTCAAAAACAGCCAATTAACTAAAAACGAGTGTTTTAAAATCCTCAATCCAAACGCTGGACACACATTTAGTGTTGGTGTTGTTTAGCCAACAGAAGGAACTATCAGTTCACATTTAAAACGGAGGTCCAGTTTGATTGGACGTTAGCTCGGTATTTGTTTGCGGAAGTGAAGTCAAGTTGTTATTTGCCGCCCTCTAGCGGTCAATATGAACACGACACTCCAAAATCACAGGCACAATCAACGTTTCTCAGGCATTATTTGGTATTTTCTATATTTCAAAATTATTTAGCTTTTTCAATCAATTTAGAAATTACACCAGGTCCTAAAAACAACAAATTTACAAGTTAATGTGTTCAAATAGGTCAATGATAAAGTACATTTTATTATGTATACTTGAGGATAAGTATATTAAGTACACTACAAGTATGCAGTATTTGGTATGTACTCGTAGTGTACTAAAGTGTATTTGGACTAAATTGTTACCATTTTGAACATATAAAAACAAATTTTGAGAATAAAATGCAGGAATTCAAAATTAGAAAGAAAGGGACTCTACAAAATAAAACAGGAAGTAAAGTAAACAAAATGGAAAGCAACAAAATGCACCCACTTTACGTGTGCCACAAATAAACAAGAACGTTAGTCATAAAAGAAAAAGAATACTAGAGACCAGTTTCATTCCAAGAGTTTTGAAGAAAGAATAACTTTAACATTTTTATTCACATGTAATCTACCCAAGCGGGGTGCAGCAGTGGCAGTTGCCGAGGCAAAATCTCGGGCGTGGGAGGAGTTTGGTGAGGCCATGGAGAAAGACTATCGATCGGCTCCAAAGAGGTTCTGGCAAACTGTCCGGCGCCTCAGGAGAGGAAGGCAGCAACTCGCTCACACTGTTTACAGTGGGGATGGGGAGCTGCTGACGTCAACTGAGGCTATAGTCGGACGGTGGAAGGAATACTTTGAGGAGCTCCTCAATCCCACCAATGCGCATTCCGAGGAGGAACCAGAGCTGGGAGGCCTGGGGATGAACTGTCCGATCTCGGGGGCAGAAGTTGCTGAGGTAGTCAAACAACTACACAGCGGCGGAGCCCCGGGGGCGGATGAGGTTCGTCCTGGGTATCTCAAGGCTATGGATGTTGTAGGGCTGTCATGGTTGACACGTCTCTACAACATTGCGTGGTCATCGGGGACAGTTCCTAGGGAGTGGCAGACCGGGGTGGTGGTCCCCATCTTTAAGAAGGGTGACCTGAGGGTGTGTTCCAACTATAGGGGGATCACACTCCTCAGCCTCCCTGGAAAGGTCTACTCCAAGGTACTGGAGAGGAGGGTCCGATCGATAGTTGAATCTCAGATAGAGGAGGAGCAATGTGGTTTTCGTCCTGGCCGTGGAACTGTGGACCAGCTCTATACCCTTGCAAGGGTGATGGAGGGGGCATGGGAGTTTGTCCAACCAATCCACATGTGCTTTGTGGATTTGGAGAAGGCTTATGACCGTGTCCCCAGGGGCACCCTGTGGGGGACGCTCCAGGAGTATGGGGTGGGTGGCTTTCTGTTAAGGGCCATTCAGTCCCTTTACCAGAGGAGCATGAGTTTGGTCCGCATAGCCGGTAGTAAGTCGGACCTGTTCCCAGTGAGGGTTGGACTCCGCCAGGGCTGCCCTTTGTCACCGGTTCTGTTCATCACTTTTATGGACAGAATTTCTAGACGCAGCCGTGGTGTGGAGTGTGTCGAGTTTGGTGGCAGGAGAATCTCGTCTCTGCTTTTTGCGGATGATGTGGTCCTCCTAGCTTCATCCAGCTCTGACCTTCAGCTCTTGCTGGGTAGGTTCGCGGCCGAATGTGAAGCGGCTGGGATGAGGATCAACACCTCCAAATCTGAGACGATGGTTCTCGACCGGAAAAGGGTGGCTTGCCACCTCCGGGTCGGGGGAGAGGTCCTACCTCAAGTGGAGGAGTTTAAGTATCTCGGGGTCTTGTTCACGAGTGAGGGTAGGAGGGATCGGGAGATCGACAGGCGGATTGGTTCGGCATCTGCAGTGATGCGGACGCTGAGCCGATCTGTCGTGGGGAAGAGGGAGCTGAGCCAGAAAGCCAGGCTCTCGATTTACCGGTCGATCTACGTCCCAATCCTCACCTATGGTCATGAGCTTTGGCTAATGACCGAAAGAACGAGATCGCGGATACAAGCGGCCGAAATGAGTTTCCTCCGTAGGGTGGCCGGGCTCAGCCTTAGAGATAGGGTGAGGAGCTCGGACATTCGGGAGGGACTCGGAGTAGAACCGCTGCTCCTCCGGATCGAAAGGAGCCAGTTGAGGTGGTTTGGGCATCTGGTCAGGATGCCTCCTGGACGCCTCCCCGGGGAGGTGTTTCGGGCATGTCCTGCCGGCAGAAGGCCCCCGGGTCGACCCAGGACACGTTGGAGAGGTTACATCTCCAATCTGGTCCGGGAACGCCTTGGGGTCCTGCCGGAGGAGCTGGTGGACAAGGCCGGGGAGAGGACGGCCTGGAGCTCCCTAATTGGGATGCTGCCCCCGCGACCCGGACCCGGATAAGCGGAGGAAGACGAAGATGAAGACGAAGAGACGAAGTAATCTACCTCAGCTGTATGAAACATTGTGTTTGTCTTTAGATTTCTCATAATTTGTGTTTTTACTGAATTCTAAGAAACAACTAGCCTAGAATCTGTTATTTTACTTTTTACACACATGCAGTGGGATGAGAAAGTTTGTTAATCTTCATGATTATCCTAGATAAATCATTGGTTGTTACAAAAAGAAATTCAGTTAAAGAGCAAGTAACTCCTAAATTAACTTTTTTTTTGCTGATAACCTGTATGTAGATGAGTGTCAAATGGTGCTGTAGACATGTGTAATTGTTAGTGTGGCAGTTTAGTGCAACATACTTAAAATTTAACATTTCAGCCCAAAACCATTATTCTATCTCCATCTTCAGATTAAAATCTCTGCTCCACATTTATTTAGAATCAGCTGTGGCTGATGGCTATGCTGAAAAATGGGACGTTGTCAGCAAATTACAACGTGGCTGCACTGCACTGGTTTCCAGGTGAGGCACCTCCACCTGGCTCAGCCACTCACCTGCCGATATGACACATTGGCGCGCTGAGCCGCTTGCCTCCTTGAAAAAAATGCCCTCCTCCCCTTTTCATCTAATGATCGTGATTAACAGGAAACCCTCCAGAATGCTGCAGAAAGTGTGCAATAGCTGTTCAAACAAAATTAGGCAGGTGCATAAATTTGGGCACCGTTGTTAGAACTCAAAATTGATTTGGTATGCTCAGTGACTCTTGACCCCCATACACAGGTGAACCAAAGACCTACAGCATCACTTGCTGCAGATGGAGTCGCTGTGCATCATTCAGCTATTCGGTGCACTTTACACAAGGAGATGCTGTATGTGAGAGTGATGCGGAGGAAGCCTTTTCTCCACCCAGAGCACAAACAGAGCTGTGGACTGACGAAAATAAATCAATTAATTTGGGCTTAGGGGCGTGATGCACAGAGGAAAATAGAACACAGCATTTCCATAAACTTTCTGTTCTTATCTTGTACACAGAGTAGCAAAGTTTCTGTTTTTTACCTTGTTTGCTGACAGTTTTTGCCTCTTACTGTCACCATCACCAGAGCTTTGCAACAATGCAACGCCGACATTGTCAGCAAACAAGGAATAACAAAATAGAAACTTTGCTTCTTTGTGTACAACACAAGAATGGAAAACCTATGGAAATAGAAGAGAAACACAGAACATAACAAGAAGAACACAGCATTCCAAGAATAACACCTGCTACGTACAGTAAAAAATGGCGGTGGTTCATCATGCTGTGGGGATGGGGCTGTGTGGCCAGTGCAGGGACTGGGTTGAGGGAACCATGGATTCCACTCAATATCAGCAGATTCTGGAGACCAATGTCCAGGAATCAGTGACAAAGCTGAAGCTGCACCGGGGCTGGATCTTTCAACTAGACAACAACCCTTAACACTGCTCAATATTTACTACGTAGAGATGCACCTATACATGTATCAATATTGATAAAAGTTAACCGATACCAGAAACCAATACCAATGCAGTTGCTTGAAAGTGGCTTCATTGTAACTTGTCATTTCTGTTCACCTAATATATTCGTTTTGTGATCATTTCTATTAATATATTTTATTGCTTTTATCTACCTCACAATCTTTTCCTGTTGAAAGCAGAGAAGAAAACAAAACCTGTATTCCAATTCATTGCATTTTTTGTGTGGCAGAAGTATCGGTATGTGGTGCCTTGGTCTGCCTGAGTGTTCGTGGCTCTCAGGTCGGGGGTTCAAGATTTTTGCAACTGCCTGATCAATCCCGGTGGCTGCCTGGTGGGATCTGGGTCCCTGGGCTCTGCTGGGTCCCCGGCGGGGGTGGTCGCCCCTGGGTCCCGGGCTCGGCCGGCTGGGGGTGGGAGGCTGCGGGCGGGCCTGTGGGCTTGCCGCTGATATCTCCCGGGACTCTGCCGGCTGCTGGTTGTGGCCCCCCGAGGCGATCGTCTGTGCCTCTCGAGGGGGGCAGGGGCTTTTCTGGTCGCGGTCTCCTTGGGGTCCCTGTGCTCTGGGGCAGCTCCTGGATCTCTGGGACTTGGAGCTCCCTCCATCTCCTACGCATCTTTGGGGGGCAGATCTGTGGCCCCTCACACTCTCTATTGGACGCCCCTATAGAGAAACCTTACATAAACACGCGCGTGTACACACACAGGTGCTCACATGATGCTCTCATAAGTATGGACTTGGGTACGTTCAACACATGTCTTAAGGCTGTGGTTGGCACTAAATGCACTGTGATTTATTATCGTGATTGTTCAGTAAACAATGTTGATTTTACTTTTCTTCATCAAGTTGACGCAGTGATAGCTTGCTCCTGTTGTATTGTTGTGTGTCCCGTTTCTGCAGGTCTAGAAGCAGACTGTTATTCATCATTGATTGTTTATTTTTGTGGAACCACCCTCCACCCCCACCTTTTGTCTCTTCCTTTCTCTTTCACCTCTGTCTCTTTATCTGGTTGAAATGACAAAGCATTCAAAAAACAATAACAATAAAGTTTTAAGTATCAGGCGTGACATTAAAAGCAGACGCTTTGATGCTCCACCTGTAAAGTAAAATCTGTAAGGCTTGTCTCTGGGAGAAAGATCAAACGAATTGGTAATGAACTTATACTATATATATATCCACGTATATATATATATATATATATATATATATATATATATATATATATATATAATCGATAGAAGTTCATACACCAACTGGCTTGGTCTATATTTAATCAAAAGATTAATATTTAATTTAAGAGATTTAAATTAATAGCAGAAGTTTATTTATTAATTCAGAAGATTTAAAGAGATCTTTGCTCGTTCAGCAACCAAATATACCCCACTTTGTGTTTTATTTCAAAGAAGAGTCAGGTTTAAAAAGTTAAGAATTTATTACTAACAATTTAAAGATGACAATTTAAAAGACAATTCATAAATGCCAATTTACAAAAGCTTTGGTATTAAAACTTGGTATTAAAGCAACCTGTGTCTGGATGAAACTACAATGAAATGTGTGTGTTTGGATGTGCGAATGTAAGTCTCAGAAGGTTTCTATCTCAGAGAGAGAAAACACGTTCGGGGTGAAAGAGTTTGGTTTGCTGCTAAGCTAAATTATTTCTTAATAAAACAGGCATCCAGATGCAATCTGTGTTCTACCTCACCGTTCAGACGACACTCTGTTTGGATCTGGAGGTCAAGGGAGGATGTTGATCAGCCTTGGGGTACTCGGTTCGGTAGAGGAGACCAATGGTACCGACTCTCTGGTCCTAGAGTTGCCGCAGGCACACAGGTGTGGACGTGGTTTGCGTCTGAGCAGATTCTTAAGGAATCTTGTAGCGTCAGCTTGTTGCAGATGACGTTTTTTTGAAGCAATTCTATCGGCGTGACAGAACAGCTTTAGTAAAGGTTTCGAGCGGCCGACCCGATACTCTGGACTCTCGTGCCACGGAGAGATTTTGGTGAGCTCAAGAACTGAACTTGAACTGAGGAGTTTTGGTTTTAACATACCTCAGAACACGCCCTCTCAAGATAGAAAGCTTTGGTGTTATGGAACAAAGACATGTGAATGCAGTTACCTTTACCCTGATGTCTGTGTCTTGCATGGTGTGTATAAGTGCACATGACCTTATTGTCACTGTTAAACATTACTGATTATCATAAATAATAATTATTATTAACCAAAGAATAATAATTCATTTCAGTAATTAAATACAATTACAATGAACCTTGATGATTATTTATGAACATTGTAACAGACAGTGAAAAGAGTTTAGTAAAAATGATTCTTTTAAATCTTGAAGTGTCCTTCGTCTTGCAGATGGAACAGCAGTCAGATAACAGCAGTCAGATTAAAGATGGTTTAAAGACTTTGTGTCTTCTGTGATGGATGATCTGTAAATAGAAGTACAGCCAGGACAGCTTGACCAAGCAGAAGAAGTGTGACCTTTGGGTCACAAATGAGGCTATTCATGTCGCTACATATTTAATTAATAATGATCACATCTTTGTTTTTGCAAGTCTGTCATGTATTTGACAGGGGAAAAAAATCAGATTTTCAAACAAATTTAAAATTCCACAGCAAACAACAAAGTGCAATTTACAGAACAGCAGGCAGAATGTGGTGAAAACTGGTGGTTTAAACCAGTGGTTGAAAGAGTAGGTGCAGATGTTGTAATGAAAGTTCTAAAAGCAGAGCACAGAAATAAAAAGTTAAATTCAGGGATGAGACCCCGGGTGGTTGGAAAACAGCACACTAAATGTAATATTTTTTCTCACAAATCCAAAAGTTACGGTCTATGCATGGGATGTCATTCCAGCTGTTCTCCAGTTCAAAAAACCTGATTTCAACACATCCTTCATCTTTGCCTTCAAATTTGTTTGGTTCTCCAGTACCCCAGTAGCTGAAATTTATAAATAAATCAAGTTAACAGCATAAAAATGTGGAAAAACTCAAAGAACACAGAAAGAGCAATAAACCTTTTTTTCAGTGGAGTCCCATCCACCCATGTCCACTCTCCTGTCACTGTGTTGTTGTACAGACCGATCCATGTGAGCTTGTGAAACTGCCTTGTGAAGTCCTTATAAAAAAAAAAACACACATATATTAATAATATTAATTCCACAGTCAAACATAATGCTAATATTTTTATTCACATGGCTGATCTGTACCTGTTCTTCCATTTTTGGTTCTTTTTTAAAACACAGATAAGGTTTTTATTTACCTTGCTGACGGTTTTGTTTGCGGCTGCAAACATCTTCAGAGCTGACGCTGATGGTGGCGTCACTTCCTACTCCGTTCATCCACGGGCAGCAGAGGACGTTGTCGCCCTCTGCTGCCCGCTCTCCCGTCTCCAATGATGCAGTCCCATGTGCGATCCAATGAGTAAACTCCACCGTCTCTGTTCATGGTCCCACATCAACGTTTCCTTATCTCTATAGCTTCCTTTATCCATCTTTTGTATTTCTGTTGTTCGGTGTTTATGATCCTTGTGTTGTCCCAGTCCAATACATGGTTTTCTATTGTGGAGTGTTCTGTTACAGCTGACTTCTTTATTGTACTTTCTGCTTCTTGTTTTGCTGCTCTTGTGTGTCTTCGACCTGTTTCTTTCTCGCACTCCTTTCTATGTTTTATTGTTCGTGTGTTGAGTTGGCGTCCGGTTTCTCCTATGTATGTTTTATTGCAGACACTTTAAGGACGTGCGGATACCTGACATGGGCAATAAACAAAAGAAAAAAACATACAACAACAGAAAGAAAAGAACAACCTAAGCAGAGAACCAGAAACGCAGAAAGACAAGAACCAAAACCAGTGATAACCCTACCATACATCAAAGGCATGACAGAAAAAATAAGAGCAACAATGAAAAAACACAACATAAACCCACCAACAAAACCATACACAACAGTTAGAAACAGACTAGTACACCCAAAAGAAGATACCAGCTGGACTTAAATGCGGAGTCGTTTACGAAATCCCATGAAAACTCTGCAATAAAACATACATAGGAGAAACCGGACGCCAACTAAACAAACGAACAATAGAACATAGAAAGGAGTGTGAGAAAGATACAGGTCGAAAACACACAAGAGCAGCAAAACAAGAAGCAGAAAGTACAATAAAGAAGTCAGCTGTAACAGATCGCTGCACAAGAGAAAACCATGTAATGGACTGGGACAACACAAGGATCATAAACACCGAACAACAGAAATACAAAAGATGGATAAAGGAAGCTATAGAGATAAGGAGACGTGGATGTGGGACCATGAACAGAAACGATGGAGTTTACTCATTGGATCGCACATGGGACTGCATCATTGGAGAGGGGCGAGCGGGCAGCAGAGGGCGACAACGTCCTCTGCTGCCCGTGGATAAACGGAGTAGGAAGTGACGCCACCATCAGCGTCAGCTCTGAAGATGTTTGCAGCCGCAAACGAAACCGTCAGCAAGGTAAAGAGAAACCTTATCTGTGTTTTTAAAAAGAACCAAAAATGGAATAAGAAGACAAACACAGCAAGAAAGTACAAAAGATGTACCTGTTCTTCTTTGGTGTCAATAATCACCAGGTCTGCTTGTCTCTGCAGACAGTCCTTTCTACTCTCCTGCCAGGTTTTGGTGGTTGAAGAGATAAAATAGACACTTGGATGAAAATACACCCATCCCTCTTTAAAATACACATCTGTTGGGGAAAAAAGAGACTGTCTGAAACATTTAAATTATCCTCATAAAAACTGTTTCCATCATTAAAATGAACCATGGATGTAGATTTCCAATGTAAATTGTTGTCCCCTGCACTTTTTACCATCCAAAACATTATTACGCCATTTAAAAAAAATGCTTGTGTTGAAGCCTGTTTCCCATTAGAACAGTCCATAAGCTCATCTATTGGCTCTGCTGATACTTGCTTTTCACTGCCACCTGTGTACTTGACAGCTCTGCATTCCTGACATTGCATAAAAGAGCCTCTAGGCTGTAGTTTTATAGACATTTTTTGTATACTTACTGTAAAGATCCCCTCCCCCTCGGTCCCCTAAGTCACTTCCGCATCATGGGTCCCCGTAAGAACAAAGAAATGAATGCAAATCAATGGAGCTAAAAACGCTATTTTCTAATTCCGCTTGTTATGTGCCACGGATTTCACGTATGATGTCTGTGAATTTTAAAGACACATTTTGATTCCAAGAACGTGCTTATTTTTGAATGGGGGGTGGGGGGTTGAGTGGGGTGTGGGGGTGGTGGGGTAGTGGGTGGGGGTGTGGGTGTATTTTAGGTTTTGTGTGAAGATCAAATCAAATCATCCATCCAGCCATCCATTTTTTTAACCCGCTTTGTCCACTCAGGGTCGCGGGGGGGGGGGGGGGGGGGGGGGGGGCATCTCCAGCGGTCAACGGGGCAATCAGGTGGGGTACAGCCTGGACAGAGAGCCAGTCCATCGCAGGGCAACACAGAGACACACAGAACAAACAATCATGCACACACACTCTCAAACCTAAAGACAATTTAGACAGACCAGTCAACCTAACAGTCATGTTTTTAGACTGTGGGAGGAAGCCGGAGTACCCGGAGAGAACCCACGCATGCACAGTGAGAACATGCCAACTCCATGCAGAAAGATCCCAGGCCAGGAAGCGAACCCAGGACCTTCTTGCTACAAGGCAACAGCTCTAATCACTGCGCAGCCCAAATCAAATCAAAGATACTTTATTAATCCCAGGGGAAATTAGAGTTTCAATACACACAATTCAGAGATCAGAAATACATGGGCAAGACACATGACAAGAATTGGTGACTGTGGTCATTCGCAACCTTGAGTCGTGCTACCTTAATAGAGATAAGAGGGTTACATGAGGACTGGTTCAGGTGGAGGGGAAAAACAGGCACTTCAAAGTTACCCTCCCTCCAGGAGGGCAGCTTTGCTCTGCAAGAAAACACCTCAGACAGAAATGCAACAGACTCCAGACAACACAACATAAGTGTCCACTAGGAGGGGTGATGGGTTGGGACTACAGTAATCCCTCGTTTATCGCGGTAGATGCGTTCCAGACCTGGCTGCGATAGGTGAAAATCCGCGAAGTAGGGACTCCCAGCATGCCCCTCGCGGGGATTCCCTCCACGTTGCACCTACGTCACAAACCGCGGCTATAAACGGAAGTCGCCTTTCCAGCTCACCACTCAGTCATCGTTTCTTTAGATTCATGATCAGAGTTTCCAACCTACCGATCAATCCAACGAACTATCAGCTCATAGTAAGTTATCTTACTTACTTCTGGAAAGCCCGGCATTTCCGTGTCACTTCGTTGACGCTCGAACGCTCGGGGGTTTCCTAGATCAGCCGGCGTTTCACCGACGCTATCACTTCCGCCTCTGTGAAACCACGCTCCCTATTGAATTATCATATGATCACATTCTCTTTTTGTGGGTAAAACTCAAGAAAAACATTTTTTTACTTGTTTTTTTTTTAGTTTTATTACAAAAAGTGCATTTTATGATGAAATTGATGAAAAAAAAACAAGAATTTCTTGATATTTCGCATAGAAAAATACCGCGAATCAGTGAAAAATACCGCAAATCTGCAAATTCCCCCTGAAAAATGCTCCAAAGAAAAAATCCGCGAAGCAGCGAATCCGCGATGAACGAACCGCGAAGTAGCGAGGGATTACTGTACCCCAACTTCAGTACCTGCAGCCACAATGAAGCAGCGCATGTCACCTCAGCGTGTGTGTGTGTGTGTGGGGGGGGGATTGAGGGTTGCAGTGACCCTGGACGCTTCGGCGGCCTTCCCGCTATCCCGCCCAGGCTGAGAAAGGAGGCAGAGTTGAGTTGCCATAGCGACGGCACATTCCACATATCTTCTGAGGGGGGAGTTTTCGTTGGAGTCTCACAGGCTCAAGGATGCCAGATTCTGATTAGAAATTGTTTTGGGGCCAGACAGAGATAATTTCCTCTCTGTCTTACAGTTTGTTGGTCCTCAACCTCTCAGAATCCCAATAATAATGGACGTTAATCTATCCCAGTCCGTGCTGATTTGTCCACTCTATCCTTGATGGCATCCATCTTTTGTGCCAAAGAATGAATCTCCGCCAAAGTCCCAAGCTTACGATTCATCTCGACAATTATTTGAGTCTGTGAATTCACAGCACGGTGCAAACCATCTCTGAGCTCTGGGATCAGGCCAATATTCCTCGACAGCTCGTTAATTTTCCAGTAAGCCAGGTAGCCTCCCAGGCCAAAAAGCAGGAAACCTGACACCAACACCACGAATATCCACACGTCTTCAGAGTCCTCCACAGGCAGCTGAGGTAAACAGATCAAGTTCCACTGTTTCCAGGAGTCCATGATGTGTCCAACTGGGTCTGTATCGGCAGGACATCCGGGAGCCCCTTCTCCCGTTCTCATCATTGAAAAAATTTTATCAACCGCGTTGAGCGACCAGCTGACGAGATCCATTTAAATGTATTTCAGTTTCCAGTTTCCAGAAAAATGCAGAAGCAGCCGTGCACCCAGCACACACAGACAGACAAAGGTCTTGAGGATAAGATATGGAGGAGAGGAATAAAAAAAAAGCGTCTGCACCCGCCAAGAGCCGGAAGAAGAAGAAACAAGTCCAAGATTACAAATGCACTTCACGAAAGTGACGACATCGAACCAGACACGGAGAAAACTGAGAGTAAATGGCTGTAAATTCAGCAAACTTCCCACAGGAGGAAATAACCACCATAAATCTGGTCATTTGGCAAGTAGAAGCTACTTAGGGGAGAGGAGATTATGTGGTGACGTCACAAATGCGACGTGTCGATTTCTAGTTTGTAGTCATGCTATTTACGAACTTTTACAAGCTAATACATCTCAAAGTATATGTAGGCATGGTCGAAACACCCATCATTACTTTTCATTTAAATTGCAGTACAACATATGAACGATCCAGGGCGTAAGGCAAAGCAGATTAGAAAATAGCATTTTTAGCCTCCTTGACTTGCATTAATTTTTTTGTTTTTCCGGGCACCCAGGATGCGGAAGTGACTTAAGCTCCCTAGTCTGGTTGTGTCCTCCCCATTTATAAAGTGAAAACTACACCCATGAAACAAACTAATATTTATACATCCTCTGTAAAGTCACAAGTTAAACAAGTTTTCACATATAAAGTGGCACAAAATGCAATTGAAAAAAAAAAAACATTTCTGAAATCTCTTTGGTGGATTCTCTCACCAGTTAGTTTTCGTAGCTTATCCTCTCTTGGTGTGACATTTTTGCAAACTGTCTCTTGATCAAACATCTGAGTGTTTGGGGTATCTGAAAAAAAGTGGAAACATTTAGGCTAATTCAAAAATAAACATTGTATTTGTTTTATAAAATAATCTGGATTACTAACTACATTTTTATGTTGTGGATGTTTGTAACACAAGTCAAATAGAAACTCTCATGACAACATTTTGTCTTCTCTTTTAGTTCCTCTGTCTTTCAGAAATTACACAACTTTCTGTTCCTAAATTCCCCCGTTTTCTTTTTTTCTTTTTACATCAAGTCACGCTGAAGAAACAAGTTAAGCAGCAATTATTTGTACAGTTGTTATGTAACCAGAAATGGGTCAAAAGTGGGTTAAACCTCAAGAACCTTTTCTAATTAAAACAAAGATTAACCGAATATGAGTAAAGTCTGCAGTGAAGGAGAACACAGACACAAAAACAAAAACAACATGAACAACACAGAGACGCAGATGTTAACTGATCATAAAGAAAAGGAGATGATGACTAAAGAAAACAACATCTCATCAAAATAAAACAGGAAGTGAAAGAAACAAAATTTAAAAACCCAACAAAAAACACCCAACTATCAAATCCAAGATTAAACTTAAAACACACAAACACGAAAATGACTCAACTTACCCAACGCTTCTTTAATTACTTTTAGAAATATAATAAAACTGCCCAAATGTTTACATTTTAAAGGCAAAAAGTAACAACAAGCATGCTCAATGGCTGCAAAACCTGAATCTGAGTTAAAAAAAATCTACTCTAGAAAGTGTTCTAAAAAAGACCGTAGTCACAAGAAACAATTCTGTTTGTTGTTTTAATTATTCAAGGATGTGTAAACAACCATAACTGTTAGGGATGTGAATCTTAGAGCAACTCACAATTTGATTCGACTCCGATTCTTGGGGTGCCGATTCGATTCAGAATCGATTCTCGATTTAAATTGATTCACAATCAGTATTAACAAAGAGTGTCAGTTCCAGGATGAACTACTTTGTTGTACAAGTTAGTTAAAGCTATGGGACATTTTTATTTTACTTTAAACTGGTCATGCTCCAAAAATGCTAATTTACAATGTAAAATAAAGTGATTCTAAAACTGTAAACAGAAGCAATCTTTTGACCAAAAGGTAACATTTATTTTAGTTTACCTTGTAAAATATAACAAATCTGTAGTTACCCAACAGTAGCTTTGAAAGCAATACGGTCAAATACTTTTCAAGTATGTGTAGAAACAAGTTACATGAGTAATCCTGAGTACTCATTTATCAACTTAGAAAATAAATATGAGAATATCTCAAATTTCTGAGTATGGAAAAAATTACATTTAAGTGCCCTCTCATCAGCAGATTCAAACATAAATCATCTCGATTTATGGGACCACAAAAGTAAACGGAGTTCTGACTCTCCTAACAAAGATCAAAAAAGTGCATCTCAAACCTGCAACATGCCAAATATTTGAGTTCTTGGAATCGATTCTGAACCTTTGTGAATCGATTCTGAATCTTTATAAATAAGAATCCAGATTCAGACTTGAATCGACTTTTTACAGCACCTCTAAAAACTGTAATGTAAAATGAAGTTAAAGTTGAAAAAATACCATTTGCATAATGTACTAAGTGCTTTTAGAGAGCAGAGTTGTTTAAAAATGGGCTGCAGCACTGGCATTTTGGCTATATTCAGACTAGCTGTTAGCTTATCAAGCCCATTGGACTTGATCTATTTTTTCAGACTGAGGCCTTTCAAGAAGTTATCTCCAACTATACATCTATGGATCCATCCATCCATTCTCTTCCACTTATCCGGGGTCGGTTTGCTGGGGCAGCAACCTAAGCAGGGAGGCCCAGACTTCCCTCTCCCATTTGGGTCAGCTCCTCTGGGGGAATCCCAAGGTGTTCCCTGGCCAGCCGAGAAGTCCAGCGTGTCCTGGGTCTTCCTTTAGGTCTCCTCCCATTTGGACGTGCACAGAAAACCTCACAAGGGAGGCGTCCAGGATGCCTGAGATACCTCAACTGGCTCCTCTCGATATGGAGGAGGAGGAGGACCAAGCTTCTCACCCTATTGGAGAGCCCAGCCACCCTGCGGAGAAAACTCATTTTGTTTCTTCCACTTGGATTCCCAATCTAATTCTTTGGGTCACTACCCAAAACTCGTGATAGGTGAGGGTTGGAATGTAGATCGACCAGTAAATTGAGAGCTTTGCCTTCCAGCACAGTTCTCTCTTCACCACAGCAGACCGGTACAACGGCCGCATCACTGCAGATGTAACAGCAATCTGCTGCAGTCAATCTCCCACTCTATCTTTTCCTCACTCATGAACAAAACCCCGAAACTCCTCCACTTAATGCAGGACCTCATCCCTGACAAGGAGAAGGCATTTTTCCTTTTCCCTTTTCCAACTCAAGACCATGGTCTTGGATGTAGTGGAGCTGATTCTCATATGTATGGATAGAATGTCACTTTTTCAAACTTGAATTTGACTCAAGACACAATTTAGTAGATGTTTGAAACAGGTTGTGTCACCAGCGTCACCGGTCCATAAGAGTCAAATGTTGACTAGTCAACCTGAAAAAGAAGGATTGCAGCCCAAATACAATTTGTTATTAATAAAAATGAAAGTCCTACGTTGCACTTAGTGAAAATATACAGTAAAGCTATACTTACAGAAAAGCACACGCAGGCACACATTCAAAGAAACTTGTAGAATGCACAGCAGTCCAAAACTAACAGCAACCACCCTCATCATCCGTAGCCCTAAATGGAGAAAACACAAACAAATAAATAAATAGTTTCTGGAACCTCTATATAGCAGTGATTTTCAGTTATCTTACACAATATCTTCATTTGTATTTTGCTTAATGTTCCTGTCATTGTCTTACCTGGATGTGTTTCAGTTTCTCTGCTTGATGCACCTGGTGCATTTACATAATCCACTCTGATCCCAGCATGATCTTTATGAACAGCTCTCACCATCGTACACATAAGCAGGCACACTGACAGCTAAGAAATTAGTGCTCTACAACTTTCTAACATGCAATGACATTCCCCTTTTGTGCATTTCTCTTTCCTGACAAATGACCACATGCTTGTTCTTCCTCTTTTAGTCATTTTAAAATTATTTCCTCATAGTTTAAAATGCCACATAAGTTTCAGTTTTACATCTTTAATTACCTTTAAATGATTTAATGTGATTATTTTTTTTATCTTTGCTCAGAAACTAATGTTCCTAACCCTTAAATACCAAATTAACTTAATTCATTATAATCTGAGATACCTTTTCCCCAAGCAAATTAAGGAAATTTATAGATTTCACAATTAAAATATTGAGAATGAGCAACAACCACTAAACCAGCTGAAGTGGCTGTTGAATTTCAATTTTTATTATATGACAATAAACAATAAAAGATCAGCATACAATTTACTTAGCTTTGTATGCTTGAAGACAATTTTCGTTATCGTTTATTTAATCAAGTATTGATGACATCATCGTGACTTCCTGTGACACTTTTCTAATTTTCTGATATTACTCATATTTTTCTATAAATGGTAGCGTGTCCACTGCATCATGGGGCCATTTACCTCATTCAAAGACAAACAATGACTTTCAGTTTTAGACAAAGATTATTGAATATAAAAAATAGAGGAATAATTTTTAACATACACATAGTGAGGAGCTGATCTGAGCTTCATTGGTCACAAAGACTAAAACTTGATCAACGTATTATCATCAGCAAGACTTAGAGGTCACATGTCCAGTTCAGCCCTAGAAAAACTCATTCATGCATTCATCTCCAGCCAGCTGGACTATTGCAATGGCCTTTTAGCTGGTCTTCCATACAAAGCTGCGAAGCCACTGCAGCTTATTCAGGATGCTGGTGCTAGAGCAGGGGTGTCAAACTCATTTTAGCTCAGGGGCCACATTGAGGGAAATCTAGTCCCAAGTGGGCCGGACCGGTAAATTAAAAACAACTTCAGATTGTTTTGTTTTAATACAATCAATATAAAACAAAGCTGGAGCCTGAGGACAGTGTATCCAAAATAGTACAAGTACGACACCTGTGTACTTGAAAAAAAAATCAACAAATAAAAAAAACATTCCTTAGTGATTCAAAGAGCTTACAGATCACATGGCTAGATCAGTTTCATGCAGCACTTAAAATATATTTGACTCATTTTACTTTACATCTTTTAGCTTTCACCAGCACATCAACATCAGAAGTCACATCCTGAGTGGCGGCCAACTTCAGGATGTGATTCAAGTTCTTGTGTGAGCCTTGAGCGCAGCTTTGTTTTATTCATACTCATTACAGAGAAAACTTGCTCACAAAGATACGTTTATTTTCACTCTACATTGTAAAGTATGAAAATAAAGTTCACACAACCATCTTGCGGGCCTGATTCAACCCGCTTGCGGGCCAGATGCGGCCCGCGGGCCGCATATTTGACACCCCTATGCTAGAGTCTTAACAAGAACCAAGAGAACCGAGCACATCACCCCTGCTCTTGAATCTCTACACTGGTTACCAGTAAACTATAGAAGTGAATTCAAAGTGCTTCTACTAGTTCACAAATCACTCAATGGCATGGGTCCAGAATACATGTCAGATCTTCTTCAGGTATCCCAGCAGGGCTCTAAGATCCTTAGGAAACAGCAAAGTGAGCTTGTAGAACTCCAGATCAGAACCACACAGGTGGAGCGGCTTTTAGCTACTATGCTGCACACAGATAGAATCAGTTTCCTTATGACCTCAAATGTGCCCCAACTCTAGTAACTTTAAAATCAAAATGGAAAAGTTTCATGTATTCATCAGCCTTTGAATTGTTGTTTCTTATGCTGCACCTTCTGCGCTGTAACTGCTCATCCTCTAACTTTGTCTTTTTTCTGATTCTCAACTCTGAAATTAATTTGTGCATTTAATTTGATTTAGATTTATTTGTGTATTTTAATTGTACTGTCACATTATTTTAATGTGCGTGCTATTCTCGTTAATGGAAAGCACATTGAATTCCCTTTGTCTATGAAATGGGCTATACAAATAAAGCTGCCTTGCCTAATAATGAAACAGGTGAACTAAAAGGGAACAATGAAATTACTTAGGGACCAACACAAAATATGATAATCCCTTCAGATGGCAGCATTGAGTCTTTCTCATTCATGTATGTCTTTAGTCCCTGACAGCAGCTGTGAGTGTTTTATTTAGAAAGTTCATAAGTGAATTCACAGCTGCTGAAATGTCTCAGCAGGAAAACCACATCAGACATTTTATTTCATTGAAAGTTGCTTTGGACAAAAGCGTCTATCAAATATAGATACTGAGAAACATTTGTTGTTATCTAGAGCTGTTGCCTTGCAGCAAGAAGGTCCTGGGTTCGCTTCCCGGCCTGGGATCTTTCTGCATGGAGTTTGCATGTTCTCCCTGTGCATGCGTGGATTCTCTCCGGGTACTCCGGCTTCCTCCCACAGTCCAAAAACATGACTGTTAGGTTGATTGGTCCGTCTAAATTGTCCTTAGGTGTGAGTGTGTGTGTGTGCATTGTTGTTTGTTCTGTGTGTCTCTGTGTTGCCCTGCGATGGACAGGCTCTCTGTCCAGGGTGTACCCCGCCTGATTGCCCGTTGACTGCTGGAGATTGGCACCAGCCCCCCCCCCCCCCCCCCCCCCCCCCCCCCCCCCCGCGACCCTGCGTGGACAAGCGGGTTCAGAAAATGGATGGATGGCATTTGCTTTTTTCACTGTCAACAATTTCATCTTTTACTCACAGTTTAAACCATTTAAAACTGGTCGTCATGAGCTTTGTGTAGTGACCGAAAGAATGTGATTGTGGATACAAGCAGCCGAAAGGAGTTTTCTACGCAGGGTGTCCTGGGCTCTCCCTTAGAAACAAGATGAGGAGCTTGGGAATCCAGGAGGGCTCAGAGTAGATTCACTGCTCCTCCACGTTGAGAGGAGCCAGTTGAGGTGGCTCTGGGCACGTCCAACCGGGAGGAGCCCTAAAGAAAGACACAGGACATGCTGGATGTTTCTCAGCTGGCCAGGAAGCTCCTTGGGATTCAATGGAGGAGCTGGTCTAGGTGGCTGGGGAGAGAGAAGTCTGGGCCTCTCTGCTTAGGCTGCTGTTTCTGCAACCAGACTCCGGATAAGCAGACGAAAATGGATGAAAGGATGGATGGAATGTTTTATTTCAGTTTTACCAGATGCAACAGCAGACACTTTGGGGTTTTCACCATCATCATGTCTCACAGTGATAGTCCTGGTTGTTGCATCATGTGGTCGACTGACTTTTAGGATGACTTCTGATTTATCCAGAAACTGTTTCACTCAAGTGAGTCCGCTGGTGCAACACGTTCTCACACCCGAAGCGTCCAAAATGACTTCATTTTTCAATGCTTCGGGTGTGAGTATGTGTTGGTTGGTGAGCTGCTTCTTCTTTCAACAGCCCACATTAAGAAACACCTTACTCTTTCTTTGAGAGGAAGATACATTTAGTGTTTTAAGGTGGTACTGCAGTTTAGTTTATTTGCACACAAAACGATCAATAAAACATATACAGTAAAAAAGAACAGTTGTGCAGGAGAGATTATGAAGACCCAAAGGTCTTATGAAGGCACCTTCCCAAAGACATAAGCTACTTTTGCAGCAGAAACAAACAAGTCACGTGCAGTTTAAAAATATAAAAACGTAGACACATCATGTGCTATTTGAGAACAACATAACGTTTAACAGTTTTTTTTAATGAAGTGCAGTTGTAGCTTCAAGAGTTGGAGGTAGTATATTCCAAAAAGGCCCTCTATATTTTAATGTATTTTGTTTACTTGAAAGCTTGCAAAATGGTAGATAAAAAGTCATTACATTGTGATTTTGTATAAATAAATAAATAAATAAATAAATAATTACATTTTTTTAAATGTTTTTTTATTACAGACTCAAATAAAAAAACAAAAAGGTAACCCCCAAGGCTGTGTGTTTGGCTCACTGCTGATTTTGACTGTGAACTTGTGTGCCGTTCTTGTTTATTAATAGCCCATGTGATTGCTTATGAATCATTATTTACCTTTTATTATTACTTTTATTTGATTAAAAATGCAGAGGTGGAAACTGAATTTATAACCTCATTTGAGTTTTTACAATTGTGGTATGTATTTGTCTGGAATTTTTTTATTTTTTCAAACTGATTTAAAGTGTAAAACATTGGAATTTTCAGTGGATTCAAACACACAGAGCAAAGTACAGAACAGCAGAACAAATGTGATGAAAACAGGATGTTTAAACACATCCAGTGTTAGAAAAGCAGGTGCAGGTGTAATGAAGGAATAAAAACAAGTTCTGAGTTCAGAGCAGAGACTAGAGAAGGTAAAAACAGACACGAGAGACCCCTGGTGGACAGAAAACAGTTCAATAAAAAGGTCGTTTTTAAAAAGCTGGAAATTTAAAGGGAACAAACAAAAAGGAAATTCTAAACAAGACTTTAAGCGGCTTTTGTTCTGCTACAACAAATACGGTAACACAAGATAAATCTGACTCTTCTTGGTGATAAAATTTAAGTAATAACACAATTTTCAATTTCAAAGGATTTCCCAATCATATGTTTTTTTTCTAGAGTCATCATCATCCATTGACTTTATTTTATCATCTGGTTCAGAGAAAGAGAGGCTGACACACTGTGTTTTGCATTTAGCATTAACAACCATTCAATTATCATTTGGTCCATCGGAATAAACAATGCAATATTTATACATACATATTTTAATGACATTTTCTTTTCTGCTGCCACTAAAACATTAAATAAACAGTTAATTAAATAATCTGACCATCTTGTTTCTGAGTTTTCTGGGGATTGGTTTGAGTTATAGAGCTAAGTTTTTCTCACAAATCCAGAAGTTTTTATTTGTGCATCCGATGTCATTCCAACTGTTGTCTTGATTAAAAAACCTTGACTCCACACATAGTTCACTATTGTTTTCTAGGTTGTTTGGTTCTTCAGGACCCCAGTAGCTAAAATAAAATAAAAATAATACATTAAATTAAAGAAACATAGTTGATGATGTTAAAAAACAAAACAAACATTAACCTTTTGGTCAGAGGAGTCCCGTCCACCCATGTCCACCGTCTTGTCTTTGTGTTGTTAAAAAGCCCGATCCATATGAATCTGTTAAACTTTCTTGTGAAGTCCTTAAAATATTACAAAATGTAGTATTATTACATAGTATTAGTAATAATCATAATGTGTCACTCTCAATATTTATATATTTTCGGATCTGCAGGCCAACCTGTTCTTCTTTGGTGTTAATAACCACCAGGTCTGCTTGTCTTTGCAGACAGTCCTTTCTACTCTCATGCCAGGTGTTAGAAGTGGAAGACACGTAGTAGAGTCCTGGATGCAAATAAACCCATCCTTGTTTAAAATACTGATCTGTGAAAGGAGAAAAATAAACCTTAGACATTTTCATTTAAACTTACACAAACAGCCATGAACATAAATGAATGCTCATTTTAAAGATTTGAAATGTGTTTAATCCCCTCACCAGTCAGTTCCTTTAGCTTGTTCTCAGCTGGAGGATCTGAAATAAGTTAAAAATGTGTCACATAAAATTAAAACAATATTACCATCAAATACAGTTTTATGTAAGATGAGTCTAATTTAAATCTCTATGAATGTAGTTCTATCTTATCTATGTTTATGTATTTAGCAGACACTTTTGTCCAAAGCAACTTACAAGTTATTTTGTGTAGTTCAGAGATTTCACTAGCTTTGTTTACTTAAAAAACAGGAAGACAAAAACAACATCAACTGAGAGGAAATCTAGGACTCAGTGAACACAGAAGATAAAAGAACATTATGAAAAGGTGATGACTGCAAAAGAAAGGATCAGGAAGGCTAAATTAGGAAGGAAGTGACTCCACAAAATAAAAGAGGCAAGAAAGAAGAAGTTCTGAGACATTAACCAAAACTCAAGACTCATTGAAGTATAAAACAATCCCAAATATGTAGATTTTGTCTAAAATATATTCACAAAACACTAGAAGGATTTAGAAGGATTATTATTTCTTTAAAAAACATTTTGAGTACATAACTGAGGACAAATCCTTAATCAGATCTGCCTCTGTGATTAATCAGAACAAAAAAAGTCCCGTCACGCCTCTAGAGGGCTGTGTGAAAACACACGCTAGCTCTACTTACACACAAAGACACGCAGACAAACATTCAGAGTCACTTGTAGAATGCACAGGAGTCCAAAACTAACAGCAACCACCCTCACCAACTTTAGCCCTGGATGGAGAAACACAAACAAACCATTGATTTTTGTAAACTTTTGTTAAAAGCAGGTTTGTTCCAGTTTTCTGGATGTGGCTCCTCTTGCTTTTGGATGCATATTTAGCTTAATGTTTACACTAATGATGTTAAATCTCCGTCTTACCTGGACATGCTTCAGTTCCTTTACCTGAGTGACTTCTGCTTGATGCATCTGGTTCATTTACATAATCCACACTGATCCCAGCGGGCTCTCTTTGAACAGCTGTCGCCATCTTACATGCAAACCGCCTCACTGACAAACAACAAGAAAGGATTGGTCTGCAGAAGTTTTTTATGTAAAGCACTTCTCCTTTTGAGCATTTTGATTTCCAAACATGTTGGCACACACATTTTCTTCCCCTTTCAGTTACTTAAGAATTATTTGTTCATCCAGTGAAGAACAAAGATGCATCTTTATAACGTACAAAAGTCTCAGTTTTACATCAAGGCCTAACTTAATCTAGTGAAAAATAATTGACAGCTTTAAAATATTTAAAATGATAGCTAGGTAGGCGACAGTTAAATGTTCTTTTAGCTCTGTAAACTTTGGTAGAAAACAATTCTTTCTGTCGTTCCTGCAGCTGTTTGATGACAACATCATGGCTTTAGGACATTTCTGTGTTGCATATATTTCTCTCCAACTTCTTCTTTAATGGGGGTTTATTCATGGGGTAATTTTCCATCTTCAAATCAGAGTTGCACCTTTCAGAATTAAACAATAAATATTAAATACACAGCATACTTTTGTAGTATCAACTCAGTTAGTCTGGGATGTTGTTCAGTCACTTATGTGGCAGAGGGAGTGACAATGACATTAACAGCAGGTGCACCAAAGAGGCACCAATGAGATAATTTCAAATTCAGCAAGAGTTTCCCTTCATTTTTTGTCAGCTTTTCAGTAGGTTTGCATGAGACAGGATCAATGTTACTAGTAACACGAGGAGATACCTGGGCCCAGGATCGCTGGGTTATTCCATCCTGGTCCTCAGGGCATGATTCATTCAGATATGTTGTCTTGTTTTACTGAAGGGTTTGTTGGTGAGCTTCTTTTTTCTAATCTTTTAGAAATACCCTCCTCTGCCCCCCAATTTTATTTGCACCTTATACACTTCCACTGACGACATTCCACACAAACACACACTTAGGGCCTTGGGAGTGAGCACATTCAACGGCATTTGGCAGGGGGATATTTCAGCCTCCTCCCGAGTGCCGGTGCCCACTTCCAATTTTAAACCGCACTTAGACACTGATGGCTGAGGGTGTAAGTGGGGTGGTGCAGTGGCATCAGCTGGCATATGCTGGATGATGCCCGCACTGCCCACTCACCACAGCCATGGAATACACCTCATGATCACACAACACTATATTGGAGCAGGCGGAGGGAGACTAGGGGTCTTAGCCACCTCTGTTGTTGCTTGGCTTCCTGGGGCTGAAGGCTAGGAGGGAGATCTGGCCGTCTGGTTGGGGTCTGGGGTGGTGGGTTGCTGTGCTCAGCGTTGGGCGGGGGAGCCTGCTCATCAGCACCCCAGCAGAAAGGGTCAAACTCTGGTTACCGGTGATGGTTGTACCCAATGTGCAGCAGTACCGGGACCAGAGTGAATAGGGTGTGTATGGGGAGCATGAGTGGGTGTCCGGCATGCATTTTTGTAAGTCTTGGGTTGTATGTGCATGTGTGAGCATGAGGGAGGGAGCGTGTGACTGTGTTTGTGTATGACTGTATATGTCAGGTGGGGCCTTTGGGTCCTCCCCTCTCCTGGAACTTCTCTTGATGATATAGATCTCTGTCCCCCCTCCCCCGCCACACCTGGTGTGGGGGCTTGTGCCTTGGTCTGCCTGAGTGTTCGTGGCAACCGGGTCTGGGGGTTTAAGATTTTGGCATCTGCCTGTTAGATCTCGGTGGCTGCCTGGTGGGGTCTGGGTCCCTGGGCTCTGCTGGGTCCCCGGCGGGGGTGGTCGCCCCTGGGTCCCGGGTCGCTGGGTCCCGGGCTTGGCCGGCTAGGGGGTGGGAGGCTGCGGGCGGGCCTGTGGGCTTGCCGCTGATATCTCCAGGGACTCTGCCGGCTGCTGGTTGTGGCCCCCCGGGGCGATCCTCTGTGCCTCTCGAGGGGGGCGGGGGCCTTTAAGGTTGCAGTCTCCTTGGGGTTCCTGTGTTCTGGGGCAGCGCCTGGATCTCTGGGACTTGGAGCTCCCCCCGTCTCCTGCGCATCTTTGGGGGGCGGATCTGTGGTCCCTCACACTCTCTATTGGACGCTCCTATAGAGAAACCTTACATAAACAAGCGCGTGTACACACACAGGTGCTCACATGGTGCTCTCAAAAGTATGGGCTTGGGCACGTTAAACACAGGTCTTAAGACTATGGTGGGCACTTAATGCGTTGTGATTTATTATCGTGATTCTTCAGTTAAGCAATGTTGATTATATATATATATATTTTCTTTTCATCAAGTTGACGCAGTGATAGGTAGATCTTGTATTGTTGTTGTGTCCCTTTGTTTTTTTTTTGTCTTTTTTTCTGCAGGTCTAGAAGCAGACTCTTGTTCATTATTGTTTATTTTTGTGGAACCCCACCACCCCCCACCCCCCACCCCCTCCCCACCTTTTCTTTTCCTTTCTCTTTCACCTCTGTCTCCGTGTCTGGTCGGAATTACAAAGCATTCAACAACAACAACAATAAAGTTTTAAGTATCAGGCGTGACATTAAAAGCAAACGCTTTGATGCTCCACCTGAGAATAAATCTGTAAGGCTTGTTACCAGCATTCAGACATCAATTCTGCTTGCTTCACAGCCAGACAGGACACGGTGAAAAAAAAATAAAAAAAAAGAAATACCCTCCTCTTTTTGTGAGGAGTAAATATAATCTAGTGTTGTCTGATGTCACTGCAGTCAAAATACAACAACTTTGTTTTCACCAAGGACCCTCCCTCCCGAAAAAAAAGTACGCTCTGCTCTTTGGTGGTTTGTGTGTGTGTGTGTGTGTGTGTGTGTGTGTGTGTGTGTGTGTGTGTGTGTGTGTGTGTGTGTGTGTGTGTGTGTGTGTGTGTGTGCGTGTGTGTGTGTGTGTGTGTGCGTCTTCGAAGGTTAGTGATATGTGTCATCTGTGTTTTTGCATAGGTTATGCAATGGCCTATGAATCATAACTATTCCTTTGCAGAGACAGAAATGCTAATAATCCCACCAAATTTTGCACAAGTGACCGACACATTTTAAACAAACTTTAATAGTGAAACTCTTTGAATATTCAACAAACAGCAAAACACTCTGTACAGAAATGCAGACCACATTTGTTGAAATGTGGTCTGCTGTTGCAACAAAGGAAAAAAGCAGTAGAGCAGAAACAGGAAACAGCAAAAAACAGGCACTGGAAACAACTTGTTGAAGAAAAAAAGCACACTAAAAATAGAGAAAGAAAAAAACTGTGAATAAAAAACTTAACACCAAAGTCTATTTTAAAAATGAACGCTCAAAAAATAAGTTATGTTCATGGACTTGAAATTTGAGATTATTTTTTTCTTCCCCATTATGAAAATGTTCCAACAAATGTGAATACGTAATAAGTCCGGTAAACAACATGGCTAAAAGGGAAATCTTCCTCCTATGGACAATAACATTCAGAATAATTTTAGATTTTTATTATATATTTGAGACGCATGATCACATTCAGTTATATTTGTTTTTGTGTACGGTTTAGAAAAAGAAAGCAAGGAAACAAGAGTATGGGCCTTTGTTTTCTCAGCATTAAGATAGATAGATATAGATAAATGATAGATAGATAGATGATAGATGGATAGATAGATAGATAGATAGATAGATAGATAGATAGATAGATAGATAGATAGATAGATAGATAGATAGATAGATAGATAGATGATAGATAGATAGATAATTATTTTTGTGTCTTACATACATTGTAAGCCCCAGTAGGCTTATAAGACACCACACCATCAACATTTACAAATGACAAACATATATAATACACCATACAATTATTTATTTATATAAGCAGCTCTGCTGCCTCAACCAGGCATTACAAACAAAAGTAGCTTATTTATACACATTAAAATTAAATAAGCATTTCGTCTAGTTGTCATCATTGAACCAAAACATGTTAGGCTTTTGGACTAACAGATCACCAAATAATACATTTCTAAAATCATCATTTGTTGGACAAAATAATACTAAATGAATTTCATTTTCAACCTCTCCCAAATCGCAAAGCCTAAAGCCTAAAATCTGTCTTCTTCAGGTGTTTGAGTGAACCTACCAGTCTCTACGGCTAGGGGAAGGATCCCAGTTTGCAGCTGAAATATAAAAGATTTTTGGTTTCTTGTCAGGTTTGCCTTTATCTCCGTTTCAAATAGATCTTTAATTTGTAAATAAGTCCTTAGCTTTGGCTTAGCCTTGTTCCCGATCAACCTATTATATTTAAAATTAGACATCAAATGGGATCTAATTTCATTAACAGAACAAAACAAATGATTACAACATCCATGCTTAGAGTTTAGCAACAGCAAAAACAGTCAGAAGTTCAGCAGCCCAAGGGGACTTATTTTTACTCCATATAAAAACTATTTTGCACTCTAATTTCAGGCAGGTTAATGAGACGATTCCATAATCTAACCAGGGACCCCCTGCCGCTGACCCCCACACACCAGCAGCATAATTTAACACATGGAACACACAAGCAGCAAACATTCCATTATCATTTGGTGCATTAGAAAACAATTAAATATTAGAAAACTTGCTTTAAACTGACAGAACTCTTTATATTTTTAATTCCAATAAAGATGTGAAAACAATTCTTGCTCGTTGTTAAAAGAGAGCATATAAACAAAACATTGTAATCATCTCATTACTATTTGTTTTTAAAATAATAACCTTTCTGGGGTTAAACTGGAGTTACAGAAACACAGTTTTTTCACAAATACCAAAATTTCTGCTTCTACATGGTCTGTCATTCCAACCGTCAACCTGCTCACGATACTTTATCTCAACACATCCTTCATTGCCTCCGAGTTGGTTTGGTTCTCCAAGAGCCCAGTAGCTGAAATGTTAACACAAATATATGATTATACACTGCTGGTCGGAAAAGCTTACACGGAACACCACGACCAAGTGGCTGGTATAGTATACAGGAACATCTGTGCAAAGTATAGACTGGAAGCCCCAAGGTCAAGGTGGGAAATATCCCCTAAGGTGGTTGAGAACAAGAGAGTCAAAATCCTGTGGGACTTCCAGATCCAAAACGGCAAAACGGTGATGGGGAACCAACCGAATA